GCAGAACCGCAGGACGCGAGCCTCGGAATGGATCACGACGTCTCGATACAGCGCTGTCTCCGCGTCTTCGCGGAGGCTCGCGCAAGCACGCGCAAGATGCGCGAGATCTTGAGGTCCTGATACGCATCGGAACATGTACCCCCAGACTTCGAGAGGGAACACGATGCCGGAAGACGATGCAACCTGAGCGTAGGAGATGTCAATTGCAGTGTTGAAATCTCATATGACGGCAGCATTCACTTCTGTACTCATCCCAGTACACGCTAGAAATGATCAGAGGACGAGACACAATAACCAGGTTCAAGGCAGGGCTGAACGCCGTGGTAAGGATTGTAGCGAGATAATGCTGTTTGAGCGGTCGCGCTCGATCGTGCGGATTCCACACAGCCCCCGCCGTAGTTGCGCGGCTCAGACGCGTGTATACAGAGGACGCGCAGCTTGCGCGGTTCCTCTGCGCTAACAGTTGTTGACGTGTACCGACATAATAAAACCGCAGGTAATCCCTGCTGTGCAACGCAGTGTGCATAATCAACCGGCCCCGATGTTGATCTCGGCGCACATACACCCTCGATGGCGAATGCCTCGCGATGCAGATGCAGCTTTCAGAGAACGCAGATGGGAAGAACTTGTACTTCCGAGTTGTCGTACGTCGACTGCTGCAGAGTCAACCGCCGGAAAATTCAAGCCACTGCCTGAACTGCTACTTCTGTAACATACTATCGAGGCCCTCTGTGAACAGTTCTTTCCCAGCACCCAGCAGATGTCATATCGTAGCGATGAGAAGGAACAATTCCACGCAGAGGTCTGCATGCTTTCACTTCGTCTCAGACGGATGTTGGTTGACTGATTATTTTGGCATATTCCAAAGTCGTCCGGAGGCAGCCTATCCTTAAGCGTGACGAGAATGAATGGCAAGTGTGGGCTATCACTAGCATGTATCGCCAGAACTCTGCCTGGACAGCGCGGGTTTGACTCAAATGCAAAGGAGTGTGACTCTGGGACGGCCGTTGGGGCGGCCGAATCAATAGGAGAAAACATGCCACGTACCACTGATCAAGGTATATCTGTTTGAACGTCTATGCCATGGGCCTTGACAACTTGATGTTACAGGATGAGGAGACAGACCGCCGCCGATCATTGTCACCGGAAGACCCGGCGAGTATCTTGTCGTGCTCGAGGTCCTTACATCAGCAGGCAACCGTGATAGCCGTCCTACAGCCGTTACCCCAAGAATCCAGAATCGCAGTTTCCTGCTCCCCGTTTTCATCAGTCATGACACCTAGGACGAAGGATCGTTTCACGGAGTTCTAGGCAGAAGAAGCCATTCGCCTGGTTGTATGGGTGAAGAAAGGAGAACTCACCGAGCTGCACCTGAAATTGATTAGCAACGTATTGGAGGTCATTGCCAAGCATACAGGGCACACACCCCCGAGCTCTTCGCGGCCTGGTGATCACAGGATACGAGGCTACTTCTTGAAGAAAAGGGTAGCAGGGAAGGCAGGGACGCTGAGAGGCCGGCAGCATTCCAACGGAAGCAACCACTGTTGTACTAGTACACGGATCAAGGCTACAATACAAGGACGGGGTCGAAATGCTGGGTCAACAGAATCGGTCACTAAAGGAGTATGAGTATAATGATGCTGAAAGGCGAAGAGTTCTCACCTCTTGAGTTTGGCACGACGGTCAAGCATAGCCTCCGCCAGCCGTCCTTCCTTTCTCGCTTTCTTGAGCTGATGGACCCAGGGGTCAGTAGACAAACAGCATGGCGGCAATAGTTGGCTATACCTCCTTCTTATCCCCTGACGATACCACGGACCGTCCGGCACCCCACGCCTGGTATACCTTACTAAAGCCGCGTCAGATAACGTATGGTGGTGACTGTAAAGGGACACACTTGGTGCTGGCCTCGTCTATGGAGGATTCGTCAATCAAGCCCTCCTTCCGTTTCTTCTCTTCCTCGTGGGCCTCCTTCTTATACTTATTCTGGATTTTCACCCAGAACCGTTCACGGAAGCCGACCTCCTCACTATCCCCGCGCAGCGCGAGCTGTCCGCCAGCTACCTCATCTACCCCGAGGTACTTCTCGTACACGTTCTGAAACGCGACCATACCGTCAGGGAACACGACAGGTGTCCACTCTTCTTGTGGACCGCGGGCCTCCCGATCGGCGGAGACAATACCATGCTTGTCGCAGGAAATGAACTTGCCCTCGCCCACTCCGGTGCGTAGGTTGATCGTCGCAGAGCCAGCAACGCGGGTGACGACCCAGACTTGCGATACCTCCGAAGGGGCGCGATCTTTGATGCTGGGTGACTCTGCATCTTCTGGCTTGTCCTTGTCGGCGGACTGCAGTGCAATGCGCCCGCGTGTCGAGTCGTATGTGATGCATATGGGGGACGGGTCGGAGGGATGGATGATGTAGGTAGGCCCACGAATCTCATTTGCGTTATCTGGGAACACCCAGGTCTCTGGGGCTTCGTCGCTGTCGTCCTTTCGCCGCCGCCGGCTGGGACCCTCCTCGCCATCTTCGTGCTTGCGCTTCTTCTTCGTCTTTTCACCCTTGAACTTGAGTTTTGTCGGCCGGACCTTCTCAGAGAACATGGTGTTTTGCAAACTGCGCAGTCACCGCGGCGTGGTCGTGGCTGATGAGCGCAAGTCGAGGCAGAGGTCAAGCAGGCTCGAGCAGGTGGCTACAGCTTGCAGCGATGAAGTCACCGGCGTCTCTGAGCCCGCGGCCTGGTGTGATCCATCACGTCGCTCGTGTGACACGACGTGCTTCGTTACGTGTGACTCACTGCCGCCCGCGCTTACTCGTAGGAGGGAGGAAAATCTGCCATCGTCACCGCCGACATCCTCAAGACCCTCAAGATGAAGTTCAACGCCGGTGAGTGCTGGTTCGTTGCGCACTGAAACGCTGCCGGGGTGCTGTGGGGAAAGTTCGTGGCGGTGGGAGAGGCGGAATCGGGTGGATGGGACACGGGCACTGTGGATGTGGTGTATATGGCCAGTCCAGGATACTGACATGCCGTCCCCCCCTGCGCAGACGTCTCCTCCTCCCGCCGCAAGTCGCGCAAGGCGCACTTCTCCGCGCCCTCCTCTGTGAGGCGTAAGATCATGTCCTCTTCGCTCTCCAAGGAGCTCCGCGGCAAGTACAACGTACGTCCCATCCATGTCCGCAAACCTTGCAGGAATGGCCTGATAACCATTTTCTCAGACGCGGTCAATACCCATCCGCAAGGATGACGAGGTCCGGATCGTTCGGGGCAAGTACAAGGGTCGTGAGGGCAAGGTCACCCAGGTGTACCGCAAGAAGTGGGTGATCCACGTCGACCGTGTCCAGCGTGACAAGTCGAACGGCGCGTCCGTCCCCATTGGCATCCACCCCAGCAAGGTTGTTGTGATCAACCTCAAGCTCGACAACGACAGGTGCGTGTTATTGTATCACCTGGGGTGCGTGATTCTCATTCGGACGCGGTTATGTAGGCGGGCAATCCTTGAGCGCAAGGACAGGAAGAAGAGCACGAAGGCGGGTGAGGACGTCGAGATGGTTGACGTATGTGCTTGTTCCATCCTACTGTAACAATTCATGCTCACGGACGTCTACAGTGATCTTTCGACTTCTCTCGTGCATTGTTCTTCCTGGCTCTCCTCGCATCGTCTCTGCAAAATCTCGCATGTATGTATGCCGCTACGCACATGTTTATGCTACATGGGCCTCGGGCCGCCCCCGCCGCAGTTTTAACGTCCGGAGAGCTTGCAGAAAAGTGGGGTTCAAGTGGTCATCACGCACAGTTGTGCTTTGTATTGTACACGGACGAGATGGGTATCACATCTGATGACATCGCTTGACCGACGAGTATCAGAACAGTCCATGGTCCATACCGGCGCGAGGTATCCGCTTAGAATATAACATCCTCGTCCTTGCTACCAAGCAAGTCGCCCCCTCCTCCCGCGAGATCTGGTGGCACCTCTGTGATCTCGGCCGATTCCTGGTGTTTCCTGAGGGCTTCTGCGGCCTCAGCATCTCGTTTCTTCTTGCCTTGTACTTTCTTCAATCTTGTTGCGGGCAATCAGGATCATCAAGCCACGGCCAGGTTCGTACTGAACTCACCGGAAGAACTCCTCTCTGTCCATCTCGTCCAGTTCACTCGTGATGTACTTGATCGTGTTCTCCAATCGGGGGATGATAACGTGCTCGATAGCGTTCACTCTGCGGTTGGTTGCGCGGATGACTTCGTCGAGGATCATGAAGGCTGTCTGGAGTGAGGCGAGGTCGACCAGCGTCTCGACGGCCTTTGCGTAGACTTCCTTTGCGCGCAGCACCTGCTGGCCACCGCGGCCAAGCCCGGTAAGGTTGAAGTCTGAGCACACGCTTGGGTGAGTAGCTGCACGATAACATTGAGGATGGCACACGACGTACCTGATCCCTGTACCCTGTCCACCTCGAACGCAGGCAGGACGACACCGGAAACGTTCTCCTGCTTCGCCTTGACCTTGAAGGACGCGGACTTGGCCTGCTCTTGCACGAGGTACGAGATGTCGCCCGTCGCGTACGTGACCTCGGCGAGCGAGAACGACGCGAGCTGCATCACGCGGCCCATCTTCCTCTTCGCCTGGTCGTCGAGAGTACAGGTTACACAACATCGAGAACATATAGGAACATGGCGGAGCGCACTTCGTCTACTCTCCGGAGGATGGCCCTGAAACGGGTAGTGAGGGCGTCGCGCTTCTTAGCTAGCAGTGAATGTCCCGTCTGAGCGCCCTTCAGTCGTAGTTTGGTATTCGTCAGAGCCATCCGAGTCGGGAAGATGTTCTCTCGGGGGCCTGTTCCGGACATGACTGCACGATGATGTCGGTAACGGAGTGTCAGAGAAGTGCAAAGTACCAGCTGCAAGCACGACGTCAGGTGGAGGATTGGCACGTGGCCTTTGGCTAGAGATGAAGTTACGTCAATTACGTGAGCAACAACATCATGTTGCCTTGACTGTTTTCCCACACAAGCCGGGATAGCTCAGCTGGGAGAGCAGCAGACTGAAGTCTTGTACGTCTTCTGAAGGTCGCGTGTTCAATCCACGCTCCTGGCATTTTTCACTCGTGGCTTTTTGATTTGGAGGTCGCATGTTAAATTCACTTTGCTGGCATTCTATTATGCCTGCTGATTTTTATACCCAGGTCGTGCGTTCGATTCATGGTCTGGCATTCTTTTGTGCATGTTTGTTCGCATTCTAGTCAGAAGTGCACGACTGTAACAAGGTTGTTGGCTTCTCGAGACTCGCACCAACAACGGGCTCGGAGTTGGTTCTGAGCTGAGGGTGGTTGCTACAATGCACCTTATGTCAAGCCAACTCGAACCATATAATTTGAGCTGAAGAGCACACGAAATCGACCTCAGAACTGCAACGACGAAATACAACATACGTCCGATCATAAAGAGAGCAATTGCACGTCAAGCAATGGTGTACTTGCCATAGTTCTTATCTGGGTCGTAAACCTGGATTGGTATGGCGTGAGCAGGAGAGCGGATCATGGCATCCCAGTGGCCACGTACCTCCCAGCGGGAAGCAGGGAAGATGTGCTTGTTTCGATTATACCAGCTTCGCTCTACCACTTTCCCGGCGTGCGACTCGTCCTTCTCGACCGAGGCATCGGCTAACAGCCGCACGTCGTCGTGGACGTCGAAGTTGAAGAGCGGGCCGGACTTTCCACGAGCCTTGTTGACGATAAAGTCGTAGAACGTGTAGTGCTGTTGGACGTAATCAGTACACTGTCAACCGCCCATATGTACATTGACGTACGTGAGGAATGATGAGATCCTCCTGCTGGAGATGTCAGCGTCGGCACAGTGCGTAAGCATCCTCGCGGCGCACCTTGATATACATGAGGTTGTCTACGCCGATACCGCGCAGCTCAGGGAATTGCTGTCGGCATTTCTCGAGGAAGGTGGAGATCGAGTCGCCCTTCTTGCACTATGTGGGGGCGGGGATCGGCAATCCAAGTGCATACATCTGGGTGGTCAGGCCCGCGACGACGGAGGACAACCTGAGGATACTTACCGTGACACTCTTCCTGTGTCCGCTGCCGTCCCAATACGAGTAGGTGATCTCCACCTCTTCGTTCTTGAGCTCTTCTTGCTTGCGCAACCACTCCTGCCGGAGTGCTTCTCGCTCGCGCCGCTCGGCCTCCTCACGCTCCCGATCTGGGAGGAACGAGGTGTCCACCTCGGGATTCTTGCGCGACTTGGCCTTCTTCACGGGTGGTTCTCTGTCGGTCTCGCCGTTCAAAGACGCGGACCGGCTCTCGTCGCCTTCGTCGTCGTCGAGCGCAAACGACAGCGTCGCCTTGTTCGTTTTCTTGCGCTTCTTCACTTTTTTCTCCTCTCTAAACGGATCCTCCACGCAAAGTAAGCGACCATCCACCGGGGCGGCGGAACCCACAGCCACAACCAGGATGAAAGTTCGACATACTTGAGCTCGTTCGTCCGCGCCGCCTCACGCGCCTTGGCCTCCTCAAGCTCCTTCCGGCGCTGCTGAAAGTCCTCGAGCCTGACGAGACCGACGGTGCTGTGCTTGAGCGTGTCCTCCATCGAATCATTCTGGCCGACGAAGCGGTTCGACGACGGCCGCGCCTTCTCCGTCTCCTGGATGAGCGTCTGCTTCTGTCGTTCAAACTCCTCGCGCATTTGGTTGCGCTGTTTCGCGAGGGCGTCCTCGCGACGGCCCTCGGCTTTGCTCGTGGACATCGTGGGCGTCGGGGCGCAAGGGACGGATGGGAGCAGGCGCCCGCCGTAGCGCGCCTTGCAAACGGTGGCACGGGCGCCTCCATACCGAGTATCCTTTCGTTTCCGCTGCCACCGTCTCTCTCTCCGGGCTGGCTCGCTCCCCGCACGATGCATATCCTCGGCGTGCTCCTCCCTGAAAGCTATCCTGTCAAGGTGCACCTTATGCCTTTGCGCTGCTGATTCGGACCGCTAACGACGCCGCCACCGCCAGCATGCGCTGACGCAGTTCTACGGCATCGGGCAGAAAACCGCGCAGCGGCTCTGCGCCCGCGTGCAGATCCACGACCGCGCCCGGATCCGGCACCTGAACCAGGGGCAGATTACAGCGCTGACCGCCTTCCTGTCCTCGCCCGCGAACTCGCCGCCGGTGGCCGCGCAGCCGCTCGCCCCGCCGACGTTCGTGCCCCCGCCGCTGGGGCAGCCCGTGCGGCAGGTGGAGGCGGAGGCCCCGCCCGACAGCCTGCGGGAGATCAAGATCGAGTCGGACCTGCGCAGGCAGATGCGGGAGAACATCGCGCACCAGCGCATGATCGGCAGCTACGTCGGGCGGCGGCACGCGATGCACCTCCCCGTGCGCGGGCAGAACACCCAGAGCAACGCGAAAACGGCACGGAAGCTCAACAGGGTCGAGCGGTACAACTGAGCGTCCCGGGGGGAGCCTGGGCGGGCCTCTGGGCCGTCCATGTCGTTGCCGGTGAGTGTGTGTCGGTGGTCATATGTCCCGCGTTCCCTGCGATCGTGAGCGGTTCCGCTGATCGTCGGCGTAGTTATCCTCGCCCGTTCGGGCTCCTGCAGTTCACCAGACCACGGCCTGGTCCCGCCCGCCTCGCGCTGTCACAACGGTGTGCGTGTATGCGTGCGTGCGCGGTGTGCTGTCCGACGGGTACTGCTATATCATGCGAAACTACTGTACATCCATACTCCGGTATATCTAGTCGTCCCCGACCGGCACCTCCTCTTCCAGGTATTTCACGAGCGTCACGCGGAGCTCTGTCGTCTCGTCCCCGCGGAGGACGTCCGATAAGAAGGCGGTCTGCACCTGCATCTGGACCTGCAGGCGCGCAGAGTTGTGTCAGTTAGCGTTGACGGGGATCTGCAGTGTGGACCGTACCATCTCCAGCGCGCCCCTGATAACGCCGCAGAGGACGTTGCTGAACCAAAGGCCGCCCTCGAGGGCCTCGTCAGGCAGCTCCACAAACTCCGCGAGCGGGTTCTCGTCGAATTGTAATGTGAACGAGGTGCCGGGCGCGTTCGTCTGCGGAGGGGGCATGCTCGTCCGTGTAGGCGAGGACGCGGGGGGTTGTGCGCCGTGCGTGACGTTCGGAGTGATGTTCAGGAACGACTTGAATCCCACCTAGCACCACCAGGACCACGATCAACCCACGACGCACGACGGCGACACACGATCGGCACGCACCTTCGCGACGACCTCGCCGACCTCGCGAAAGTCCGCGCAGCGCCCGAGGCTGCTGCGGGCGAGGAAGTCCTCGATGAGGCGCGTGCCGATGTTGTACCCCATCTTCTCGAGCTGCTTGTTCACCTCGCCGTAGTCCTCGTAGTCCTGGATGAGCTGCACGACGAGCGCGCCGTACGTGAGCGCGAACAGCTCCGCGTTCTGGCACGGCCGGGCGGTGAGCGGGTCAGGGTCTGGCGCGCGGGGGTGGGGGCCGCGGACGCGCGCTCGCTCACGATTTTCTCCGTGCGGCCCTTCCAGAGGTCCTCGCCGACGGCCTTGTACTGCTTGCTCGTGGTCGCCATCGCGGCTGTGGGAGTCAGCTTGCTGGGCTGGGCGATCGAGGCCGTTCCGGCGAGTCAAGTGAGCGTACGGTGGTGGCAGCCAGACGGTGGATTGCGATCGAAACGCGGGCGGGGCGCTCTGCTGCCCGCGGAGAAAGGCTGTAGGGCCAGTGCACGCGACGCGAAGCCACCTTGGGCGCTAGTCTGTCTGGAATAGGCGCCCGTGGGCGGGAGGCGCGCAGGATGCGCAGGCGGTGCGCAGGCCCAGGCACTGTGCACTAACGCGACCGGCGACCGCTTGGGGTTGCGACACCACGGACCCGAGCGGGTCGGTGGCTTGATCAGGGACGTCGGCTCAGAGAAATTTGTCAAAGGCGTGGCATGTTACTCGGGAGGCTGCCTTTGGCATGCGCGGTTCTGACGTGGTTCTCACTTCGAGTTTCACCGCGGGGAAGAGCCCGGATCGGAGGAGAGCATGCATTGACAGGGCGGAGGAGGGTTGGGACGTGCCATCGCTAAGATACAGAGGACGCGGAGGCGGAACCGTGCACGCAAGGGCGACTAGGCCGCAAACGCACGAAAAGTCTCACAGGTGATCCACGCGGAAGCAAGACGTCAACGCTGATGGCGTAAACGTCGGTCGGACATTTGCATTGCGAAGTCGCACAGAGTTCCGGCTATAGACGGAGAGCGGGAGTGTGAAAGTACGATGGGGGGCGGATGGAGGGCGAACTTCGAAGTGCCGCCGGGAAGACGAGAAGGTAGGAGGGGGGAAGCCACGGCTGTGGGAGTGGAGGAGGCAGGCGGGCGGAAGATCCTCGCGAGGTAGGGTGAGGGAAGAGGGAGACGCAGCTGACGGGAGAGGAAGGCAAGGAACGAGTCGAGCAGGGGGAAGCAGGGGCAGATGACCGCGCATATACGTATCGTGGCAGATCAGGCGCATGAGGACGGAATATGATGCAGACGATCCGACGGATTGAGCGAGTTGATGGTGCGGATATGGGACGCACCGAGCAAGGGAGGCAAGCGCGGACGGCGTACTTACAAAGAACGGGCGCACGCGTGGAGGCGCATTGTGGGATTACCGAATGTTTGCGTGTACGAGACAAGAAGCGTTGTACATACTCTGCAGATGATGGGGATAGCAGTAATACCTGAGCATCGCGATCCTCGGGTGGAGAAGGTACGAGTCGATTGTCGGGCTGGACCGCGGATGGGATCCCGAGGCAAAAGGTAAAGCTGCCAAAAAAAATTGCCGAAAAAAGACGGAGGCGGGATGGCGGGCGGAGGGAGGGCGTCTGGACGATATACTGATGGAGCCCGTGTTGCCGGACGAGTGTGCTGCATAGAGAATCGCGAGCGTGGATTGGCTTCTTGAGTGCGATGGCGATAGGACGGGTGACTGACGAGACGGTGAGGGACGGTGAACGCGGAGGAGTCGGGGGGCGGAATGGGCTGTTGTGGGCTGTTTGGCGGGGGCGGGGCGTGGAGGAAGAGAATCGGGGATGGCTAGCAGCGACTGCGACTGCGAGTGCAAGTGCAAGCAGCTCCGACTCGAACCTCGTCTGC